GCACGCTAACACGTACATTAGCATGAATGCCCAGCTGAGTTAGCAGAACAATGGAAACACACAAACCCAGAACGGGCACGCTAACACTTCATTAGCATGAATGCCACGTCACGTACATCGGCACGACGATAGGGCAGGGGGAAAGGGAGGATGAGTCCAAGGGCAGTCAGGGGCCCTAAACATTTCCGGACATAATTGTATTGCTCTGGGTTGGAGGCCCAAAATGATACACTTTCATGGGGCCCAAAATCACCCCAGTGATATGGTACCAACATTTATGCATATTTATGCATCTGCAATGCTATACTGGATCTCAGTCTGCTTTTGCTGATATGGGTGTATGTTACTCTGAATACTGCCATCTGTATTTGTCTGACAATGTACACACTATTCAATCTTATTGTTATCTTCAATTTGTGAAGAAAAAAATGCTAAAGGTGAACATTTTCTGTAGTATATTCTCCCAGTTTTGGTCCAACCTTACTACCTCTTAAATTTAAGGGATCTGAAGTGGCGACAAGTGAAGTAAACTTTACACACCAAAGTAAAATTGCTCCCCGGACTCAAGGTCTGTCCCTACATAAACAAAGATATCCCAAAATTCACTTCCTATGCAATTCTATTTGCGCCCACAAGGGGGGAAATGTGAATTGAGTTAGCATTGAGTTCTTGTTGCATTTCTTCAGTTCACAACGTAAACACATGGTGAGCTGGATCTGAAATGTATTGTGTCGTCAACCAGTCTTTGCTCCTTGTCTTTCCCAGTCATGCTTTGGATCACGGCGACCTGGCTCGGAAAGCAGGATAAAGATGCGTGTAAAAATCCACCCCTAGAAGTGCGGAGGGCACGTTTAAGGCATGAAATTTCCGAGATCATTTGAAAAAGATCCGAATTAAGACAATCCCTGTCAAATGGCAGCCCTTTGCCTGCCTGGCATCTCGGAATAGCCTGTCACTTCCATGTCAGTCAAGCGCTATGAACAGGTCCTAAAAGCGTCTTTCACAAGCAGACAATGTGAAACCAATATGGACTACAGCAACCCCTAGGGAATGTGAGACATTAAATTGAAGTGTGCCTGTTCTGTTACAGCTGAGATGAGCAAAGTTCTTCCTTGCGGGAATAAAAATTGACTGTGTGACATACAGATATAAACCATTAAAATTATACAATTGCATTTTCTCAGCTCTATAAAAAATAATAGCATAATACAGTACAATTTAGTTATATATGTGCGTATATGCTGGTTGTATATGTTAGCATTTAGCCCAGCTGCTAGTGGATGTTTTAATGTCAACAATTTCCTGGTCAAAGTTATTAGAATTTTGGCTACATATGAGCAGGAAATATGGGGATTTTTTCCCTCCCCAGCTCTGGGTTCTTTCTGTGTTCATGTGGGAGGCTTCCTGTTCCCATTCTCGACATCTCCAGACAGTCGTCTTTAAAAGCGCTTTGGCGGTAAGAAGGTAGCAGCTAAATTGGGGCATCCATGCTGAGCGCCGCTTGGGGCCCTTGCCGTCACACACAGAGACGTTTCTGTCTGCTTATGGCTGTCTTCGCTTTCTGTTTCATTTTTGTTGTGTTTGTTTTTGTTTTGCCTTCACATTTCTTTTGCTCTTAACATCTCGCTAATTCTTTTTTTTTCCCCAAACATTTTTTTGTTTCTATCTGCTCTGCAAACCTGGCCAGCTGTCTGGTTATGGTGACACGTGGTTTAATGGTCAGTCGCGTACTGGAGAACGGTTAGGTCAGGTGTGTATTACGTTACCCTAAACCTTTAACGAACCAAGCTTCAAGCAGATTAACAGCTATTCCTTGGAGCATAACTAGGGACATCCATGTACTATATGAACGTCATTTGGTGATGTCCTTCTCTGGCTTTGCCTTTCTGTGCTGCCCTATGTTTCTGCACGGAGTGTTAGGTGAGCTTGGATGTTCCATGCATCTTGGGATAGACTCCATGCCCACTGCAATCCTGGACTTGATTCCTCTCTCTCGGTATTCCCAAGGGGGAAACTGAACATGGGGAGGACATTTCAATTTCACACACAGAGGCAATGGTGGGATTCAACCCCACAACCCTAGAGGCGTGAAGACAAGCTACACGTTTTTTTTTTTTTTTAAGTTCAAACACAGGTTAGGCATTACTCTCCACTCTTCAGCAGAAGTATGGATTTTAGCAAAACAAACCCCGCAAGTTGCATATCTGTCGTCCTTTCATCCGACACCCATTATAATTCTAAATATGGTTTTGTATAAGCTGCCAAATAATAAAATGAGTAGCGATGCTTTCTCCGCAGTTACGATTTAATTTTGCATCTGCTCAGCTGTTCTGTTGCCGTCGGATATTACGACAGCAGCAACTTTCTCCGCTGTTACGATTTTTTATTTTTTATTTTTTGTTATATGAGTTGCATGGTGCCGATGGACATGAACTCATAAGGGACAATGAGCAATGAGCATTGGCAGGGAGCAGTCAGTGGGACAATAGTTCTCTGGAGTATGGACAGGATGCAGCTTCTTGGTTCCTATATTTGATAATGCCCCCCACCCCAAATCCCCACACTCATCGTCCTGACTACATTAATTGGTGCTGCAACCAGGACCTTATGGCTGTTTAAGCAATTTTAGAAATCAGCACGCATGATTTTGAAACCCCGTACGGATTTTTTTTGGCACATGCAGTACATTTTAAATGCTGTGATATTATTGGTATTGTTTTAAGTCTGGAGGCTAACGGGGTGGTTGATTACAACAACGAAAACTAACACCTGAACGGTGCCAAAAAGCCAAAGAAAAGTGCAATGATAATGCATTTTTTTCTTCTTTTCAACTGTTACTTACTATAGTTTTTACCAATTTTGCGAGAGAGAGAGAGAGAGAGACCAAGAATGAAATATTAATCTCAAAAACGATCGGCCACAAAGATCAGATGCAATTTGTGGGCAGCAACACGAAGGTATCTAATCGCTAACGGTGGGTGTGATCTTTACTTCCATACTTCCAGAGTAAAAGTATCGGTTATCGATTAAATTCAACGAAATTTACCAGAGGATGGTAAAATAAATAGATAAGTAAATAACTAAAAATAAGACTTCAGTCAATGTTTGTAAGCTATATAAAAAACAGTCCTTTCGGTAAAACACTCGGCCATCTCATCTATCTATCTATCTATTGATCGATCGATTGACTGATTGATAATATGCACATGTTACACACAGTACTGCCATCTTTCACTGGAGGGAGCTATTGTACTCGGCCTGCCCTTTGTTAGTTTGGTTCTATATTGAAGAATAAACGCAAAATCACCTTCCTTTCCACCGCGATGCCATATGTTTGTCAAAATAAATAAATAAACCTTGTTTGTGTTTCTTCCAGTCCGAATGTTCAAACATGAAAAAACCAACTCCTTTAGCATTGTCGCTGCCACCATTTACAAACACTTACTCGTCAGCAGAGATCGTTACTGTAGTAAGAACGATTATATAGGCTAGGCATATTTAGCACATAAAGTTTACTAAGATCGGACTGCATGACCCCTGTTATAATTTTAGGTAACTCCTCTCGTGTCATAGATATGTGGATAAACGCAGTACACAAGTCCTCTGAGGCTCACACTGACCTTTCTGCCTTGCAGTAACGCACAAACGCCTTTGCTCTGATTAGGTCATATACAACTGAGACTTTATATTGAGCGGTATCATGTGTCGTAATCTTCTAAAACACAACAAAATAGTTAATTTTGTTATAGCTTGTTTTTTTATTACCACTAGGGGGCATATTCAGCCTATGTTTAGGGCGATGCAAAAATGTCCTCAACAATCTTCCAAAGCCCCCTGAGCTATTGGGGAAAGGGAAGAAATTGTCACGCGTCTATAAATAAGAATGCATATATTAAGGCGTAGTTGATTTGAAAAAAATATATATATGAAATAGCTTATAAAATAACACAACTTTTGGCAGTTATACTCCTGTCTCATGCATATCACGTGGCAAACCACAAACAGCTTATATAACTGTTGCCGAAACCTAAGTGGCTCTTAGCATTTAACGGTAAAACATTAATCCTGGGAAAGTGATTGATTCGCGCCAGCATTTATATTCACACGGGGCATAATCTGTTTATTGATCATGCATTAAATTTATCACGGTTTACTTTTCTAAGTAGCTACTCTCATCTCTGAAATGGACTGCGTGATTGTGTGTGCGCGCGCCCGCGCGTGCCCGTTTGCTTGTGTGTGTGTGTGTGTGTGTGTGTGAGAGAGAGAGAGAGAGAGAGAGATCAAAAGTGTGCAAACACAACCGCGCACGCATACGCTACGTATGCCTTTCCCTTTTGTCCTGTGTCATTTTGCTGTTTCTGTTGCTTCATTAATATAGCTATGTTTTCTGTGTATTACTATATACGCCATATGGTTCGTTGCGGCCGATAACGAGCTGTAATTACAATTAAACACCTACATGAAAACTCATAATTCACCTATCAGTAAGCAGCATCTGATTTGCATCCGGAAGTTTTAGTGGTGATTTCAGGGTTTTGACCCTGAAAATACAGCAGTTACAGATACAGAAAGGAAAAAGAGCTTCATTTCTGACTGCTGAGCATCCAGCTTTACACAAACTGCTATAAAATATAGCCAGATCATATGTGCGTCATTAAACAATCAAACTGTTACTCTTCAACAATGTGGTGTTCGTAAATGTCCGCTCAGATCCGCCATTTGCCTGCTTTGATTTTAAAAGAGAAACTTATTTAACGAAGCGCGTGAAGGATATTGTGTATCAAGTTCCAGTCTCAGAAATGTAAATATATTTTTATGTAATTTAAAAGCATTTACTGGGACAGTGAAGTCTGTGGTCCTGCAGTTTAATTCGATAATAAATCCGGCATAAACTCGTTAAAGCGCCCTCAGAATTACAGCTTCGTGGTATTTGTTCCCAGTAATATGTCTTTGTGTATTAAATCTATCATCAGATATACAATTCAATTAATCGAACCCCTGCAAAGATGCTAAACGGATTCTTTATATGGGCTTGTGACTTGATCTAATTGACGTCAAAATCTTCCAATCAGCCGTAAGGTCTGTGGGTGTCGATGGCAGCCATTGGTTGTTTAGGGGGGAGCGCTGCGCAAAAACTGAAATCCGGAGCAGTCCGTGTTCAGAAGTCTTTTAGGGGAGTTCGCCGTGTGCGCGCCTGGCTCAGAAAGATAATGCAAGAGTAAGAAAACTGCCTTTGTATATTTATATGCCTATATAGGACTAATATGACAGCAGCGACTATAAAATAATTAACGCGTCGCTTTGTACAATGTAATTTTAGTAATTATCTGTCTTTACACGAAATACCATCCTTTTAATGTATGGCTGTATTATACGGATGGTTTGTATACAATGTCGGTTATAAAGCCAAAGCTCACAAAACTCCGTATACAAAAGAACTGTTGAGGATCCGAGACCTGCATTCATTATAAAAAAAATGTTTGGGGTTGGCAATACCAAAAAAAGGAGACACGTCTGATTTCTGAAGCCTTACGTTTTTCGCCTTTCCACGGACAAGGGTGATGGAAAATTCCAATTCAAGTCAGAGGGAATAATTATACGTGCATTTTTTTCTTCTTTTTTTGATGATGATTGTGTTACTTATTCTTATCAGTATAGCGGATGGAGTGGTTTCCCAAATACGCTATTCTGTTCCAGAGGAACAGGACCATGGCACATTTGTGGGAAATATTGCCGAGGATCTTAGCTTGGACATAACAAAACTTTCATCTCGTAGATTTCAGACTGTGCCAAGTTCGCGGACTCCTTATTTGGAAGTGAATTTGGAAAATGGGGTGCTTTTTGTGAATGAAAAAATCGACAGAGAGCAGATTTGCAAGCAGAGCGCAACCTGCCTCCTGCATTTGGAAGTGTTTTTGGAAAACCCGTTGGAGCTTTTCCGTGTGGAGATCGAAGTCGTGGATATTAATGACAATCCGCCCAGTTTCCCTGAAACTGACATTACTGTCGAAATTTCTGAAAGTGCCACTCCGGGAACGCGCTTCCCGCTGGAGACCGCGTTCGACCCCGACGTGGGCACCAATGCGCTCCGCACCTACGAAATCACCACTAACAACTATTTTTACCTCGACGTGCAAACGCAAGGAGACGGGACGAAATTTGCCGAGCTAGTGCTGGAAAAGCCGCTGGACAGGGAACAGCAGTCGGTGCACAGGTACGTACTAACAGCGGTCGATGGTGGTCTTCCTCAAAGAACCGGTACTGCGCTGCTGGTGGTTAAAGTGCTCGATTCCAACGATAACGTTCCCGTTTTCGACCAGCCGGTGTATACGGTAAATCTGCCCGAAAATTCCCCGGTGGGCACCTTGGTCATCCAGTTAAACGCCACCGACATGGACGAAGGACAAAATGGCGAGATTGTCTATTCTTTCAGCAACCACAATGCCCCGAAAGTGAAGGATCTTTTCAGCATCGACGGGCGGACCGGTCGCATTGAAGTCAGCGGAGAGGTCGACTTTGAGGAGAGCAGCATGTTTCAGATTTACGTGCAAGCGAAGGACCTTGGACCCAACGCCGTGCCGGCTCACTGTAAAGTTCTGGTCAAAGTGATAGATGGGAACGATAATGCCCCGGAGATCACTTTCAGCACCATGACCGACTCAGTGAGCGAGAAGGCTGCGCCGGGCACCGTGATCGCATTGCTCAGTGTCACGGACAAAGATTCCGGGGACCACGGACAGATCCACTGCGAAATTCTCGGAGACGTACCTTTCAAGCTGAAATCATCCTTCCGGAACTATTACACCATCGTTACGGATGGACCGCTAGACAGGGAGAGCGCTGACTCCTACACGGTGACTGTGGTGGCCAAAGACAACGGCATCCCGTCGCTGGCCACAAGCAAGTCCATCAAAGTGCAGGTGTCGGACGAGAATGACAACGCGCCGGCATTTACGCAGCCGGCATTTGACGTCTACGTGACAGAAAACAATGTACCTGGCGCCTACATTTACGCAGTAAGCGCTTCGGATCCGGACGTCGGGCAGAACGCGTTAATTTCTTACTCCATAGTGGAGTGCGACATTCAGGGCATGTCCGTTTTCACTTATGTGTCCATCAACTCCGAAAACGGCTACCTGTACGCGCTGAGGTCTTTCGACTATGAGCAGCTGAAGGACTTCAGCTTCATGGTCCAGGCGAAGGACTCGGGGAGTCCGGAATTAACGTCCAACGCCACCGTGAACGTTATAATCGTGGATCAAAATGACAACGCGCCCACGGTCATCGCGCCAGTGGGGAAAAACGGCACGGCCAAGGAGCCACTGCCTCGCTCCGCCGAACCTGGGTACTTAGTAACACGCATAGTTGCTATGGATGCGGATGATGGAGAGAACGCCCGATTATCATATAGTATCCAAAAAGGAAACGAGAACGGGATGTTCCGCATGGACTGGAGAACCGGCGAGCTGAGGACCGCGCGGCGCGTGTCCAGCAAAAGGGACCCGCACCAGCTTTACGACTTGTTGATCGAGGTGAGGGACCACGGGCAGCCGCCTCTGTCATCCACGGCCAGCGTCATCATCATGATAGTGGACAGTATAGTGGAGGGACACGGCGGAGAACGGGGCTCCGCCAAAGCGAAGGAGACCTCGCTGGACCTGACCCTCATCCTCATAATCGCGCTGGGCTCCGTCTCTTTCGTCTTCTTGCTGGCCATGATCGTGCTGGCCGTGCGGTGTCAGAAGGACAAAAAGTTGAACATTTACACGTGTCTGGCCAGCGACTGCTGCCTCTGCTGCGGCTCTTGCTGTAGCAGGCAGGCGAGAGCCAGAAAGAAAAAGCTTAGCAAGTCAGATATAATGCTGGTGCAGAGCACTAATGTCACCAGCACCGCGCAGGTCCCGGTCGAAGAATCGGGGAGCTTCAACTCCCACCATCAAAACCAGAACTATTGCTACCAGGTATGTCTTACACCGGAATCTGCCAAAACTGATCTAATGTTCCTAAAGCCCCGTAGCCCTGCTAGGGGCGCAGACAGTGACCACAGCCCATGTGGAGCCTTAGTCACAGGTTACACAGACCAACAACCCGACATCATATCTAACGGCAGCATTTTATCCAACGAGGTAAGAATTGCTGATGCCTGTTTTATGCTATACTTTTATGTTTTGTCCTTTGTGATGTTACATTTTTATAATCCCGCTTTGTAAAAGGTGTGAAACGTGACCGCACATTTAATCCATTTTAATTGAACCACAAAACCCTGCGTTTTGAAGGAAAGCTGAATGTGAGAGGTCGTTTAATATATTTTTAAGTAATTGCAGATTTTGCGGGGGGCGGGGGGGTTGGCAGATGGATTTGTACAAGTATTTATGGAAACACCGGCTGCTGTTTGTTGAAATTTGTGCGTGTTTGAAAGACCGAGCAACTGAAACCCTGATCTGAATGATACGTGTCACGGCAGTAGTATGTGGAAGGAGCGGCTCCACAGTCAGTGGGAATTAAGTATGCCTGGCACGGTCTTTCCGAGCAACACTTGAACAAAGATTCGTCTGTAGCAGAAGCTGAGACGGTTCACCACTAAATAAAACTGTTACCGTACTATAGGCAAGCATAAATAAATAAATTACAACAAGCGTCTCCACCGACACGTCCATTTCAGGCATTTCATTGCATGCGCTGGTATTTATGAGAGATATGCGGAGATAACGGCATTGGTTGATATATGTCTTTTTAGTGGACAAGTTTAAAATAGTCTATATAAGATGTCATGCTTTACATCGGGCGAAAGGTCATGTGTTTATGCACTTTATTTATTTATTTTGTTTTGTTTTTAGAATAAACACCAGAGAGCTGAACTTAGCTACCTTGTCGATAGACCTCGGCGTGTTAACAGGTAAGGAGACGGTCTGTGTGGCGTTTACCTTGAACCGTAATCGTGATGACAATACGATGATATATGGGGGTGGGGATGTATGCTTCTAAGTGCATTTATTGTGTAACACCTGTGGCGGCCATTTGATGGCAGAATTATGTGTTTTTGTTTTTTTGTGTTGTGCAGGGCAGTGGAACTTTGACGTAAAATATATATTATAAAATGATTTCTATCAAATTATTCATTTATTGTGATTTTTAGTTCTGCTTTTCAGGAAGCAGATATAGTCAGTTCTAAAGACAGTGGACACGGAGATAGTGAACAAGGAGACAGTGACCATGACGCCACCAATCGAGGTCACTCGTCTGGTGAGTGCTCTCCTACACACCGATGCCTCTTTAAGTTGTATTGTGCGTGATTCCCAGGCGTGTTTAATCGTATTACTGATGTTTAATTTATTAGGGCTGTCACCATAGGCCTGACTCCAGAAGCCGTCAATGAGATGTTTTTAATCTGCGGTTGCGTTTAAGTTTGCTGGGAAAATGAACCTGCACCGTGTACTTATTGAAAATGCTATTTTATACTTTGATTTGGTACACTTTTTGCAGTCGTTGGAAATGTGATTTTACGCCGTTCGCTAACTATATAGTCGTTATTTGCCGCAGTAGTGGTATTTCAGGTTTTTATATCCATGGCAGCTATAGCAGACTATACCAAATGTCATTCTAATTAAAAAGGTGATAAGTGTAGCCCGGCTGTTGTTGCAGATGTGTCGGCTTGGTCTGGCCCTATTTTTATGTGGAAGATTCTCCACAACAATGACCCCATTGAGTGGCGGCTCCGGTTTAATTCTGCTGTTTATAAATATTCAGCCTTAATGAGGTTTGCTGGACGACCCCTGCCATGCTGCTCTTGGACAAAGTGGGGGATTTAGAAAAAGGACGGGTTTGTCATTCATGGTGTGGGAACGCGCTGCATTACTTCACGCTAGGGGGACTGTGTCACTCCCAAGTTCCCATCGCTAGTCTTGACAATGGTCCATCGTACATGAACACACATTACCCAACAACGACCGGGGGCAGGGATGCATTCTGAGAATGAGTTTGTATGGAATTAAAATTTACAAAAGTCACAGTACAACTCAATAACACTTATTCATTTCTGTATACCGAGTCATTATGGATGAATTGGATGTGCTGTAACTTAGACAAATAGTTTGGTTAAGCACACACATTTTACTGTTCTAATATTGTCTAAATCAAAATAACATGACGTAAGTTAATCTATCTATGTAAACGTGCCTATTTCTAATGAAATTTCGACGTGTTCGACAAAATCTTCCTTTTGCAGGACTCTTTCTGTAAATTAGTTTCATATTTTCATACTTTATAGAATTAATTACACGCAGATGCCCGTGCGCGTTTCTCTTACGAAATGTATACAAAGTAACGTTTTTGTAATGAAAATTCGGTGATAATTAAACGCACGCCTCTTAGATAAAGAAAGACATGAAAAATAAACGTATTATAAATTAAGCACGTTTAAAAAGATGAATAAGCATATTTTCACAATCAGGTTCCTGTTCCGGTGATGCGTAGTCTGTACTTAAACGATCTCGTTTAGACAGCAAAGCAAAACATGATAAATTGCAAAGCTGCTCTGCTTTAAGATGTACTTTGCAAATATTAATCGCGTCTCCCGGGGACCGTCTCCCTCCGTTCTGTCTGTGTGGCACGTAAGCGCCGTGTAGCCCACTGATCAGCAATTTACTTTCTGACCTGCATACCAATAGTCAAATGAAGGTTATCATTAATGCTCAGATTGGTGATGCTTGAATTTCGTTTAAGAAATTCTCGATGAAAAGCCATTTTATCGGAGGATTCGTCTTATGAAAGCCACCCTCGCGTCTCCTATTCGCACGTGACTCTGTACTTGTTGATCTGTAAGAGCTGCAGGTCAGTAGGCCTATAGTGTCAGTGGGGTTTGCCCCGTGATGATAAAGATTTCAATAGTTAGCAATAGTCGCTACAGTGTGACCAGTGACGTCAAGAGTTTGGCGTAGATAAGAACAGGGGAAAAAACTGTTTTAATCGATCAATCCATCCATCTTCTGACTGCCTATACTGGTCAGGGTGCCAGTGTCCCAGGCAGCAAGGGGCACGAGGCTGGGGTGCATCATGGATGGGATGCCAGTCCATTGCAAAATACTATTGAAGATGATGCAACCAGAAATGCTTTTTGTAATCAAAATTTGAGCATCAATGTGGTAAATAAAACTGAAATGCACAACAGGAGCATTTTGAAGGGACACTGTTACACCTTCATTTCATAGGTCTTTTACAGAAATGTAGTTATTCTCAGAAATTTGCTCTGTATGTAACAGTCAAAAAGAATCTGAATTACTTATGTTCCTCTTGAAATTGCATTAAACTAATATCCATGTTGCGTTCAATGGAATGTTCGTGCTGGATTTCACTCATTCCATCCTCCAAATGGGATGTTTTACAGTCACCCCAAAGTAAATGCACCGATAAACAAAATTTTTAGCCGATCCAGCAAAAAAAAAATCCAATATAAAATGGATCTTTTCATTGGTGTAAGATTCAGAACCTTTGTCAAATTCTTTTGAGGAATATAAATATTTCCTTTGATGTATGAGTGAAGTGAAGTGAAATGTGACCTTTATCCTTTTTATCTACCAGAAAACCTGCAGGTTTTTTCTCCCTTTCTGCCACTTTCAGTCCCTTTCTTCGTACGCAGAAGAACTCGTGCTATAAGGAATCCAAGATTAGACATTTGGCTCCAGAATATATTCAGTCTGTCATTACTGGTGCTTTGATCTGTGTGTTCAACATTCCGAACCGCCGTCGTCCCAGTGCTGCGACCGCTGTCCGAAGTGGCGGAATCATCTGCAGGCGATTAGGGCTGTCAGAGGATGTCATTATTTTGCTGCGGCGGAATTTTCATTGCTCCGAATGAAGTAATTAACTCCAGTATTGGGCTATTATTTTACGGATTCCCAGTTTTGCATAATTCCGGACAATCACCAGCTTTCCTGCCTTCTCTGTTTCAGAGGAGAACTTGTGTTGAAATCAAAGTCTGAAATGACCTGGAGTTTCCTGTGTGTGTGTGGGGGGGGGGGGGGCGTTATAGGAAAAAAAGACATATTCATTTCACAGAGGAAATGCATGAAAGGCATATTATCACTTTCTGGGCCTGTCATCAGTGGAGGGGTGGAGGGGGGTGGGCATGGGGGCGGGGCTTATGCTTCATGACAGGGACGGTGTCCTCATGCATTGCCCGCTGTCGATTGTCTTGTTGTAGGCGCTGATCTCTTTTCAAACTGCACAGAGGAGTGCAAAGCCCTCGGGCACTCTGATCGATGCTGGATGCCCTCCTTCGTGTCGTCCGACGGCCGTCAGGGGGCAGATTACCGTAGCAATCTGCACGTCCCGGGAATGGACTCTGTGCCCGACACTGAGGTATTTGAAATGCCTGAGCAAACTGGCGAGAGATCATTCTCCACCTTTGGCAAAGAGAAGTCACATCACGGCACCCTAGAGAGGAAAGAGTTTGATGCACTTCTGTCCAGCACACGTGCGCCTTTCAAACCCCCTTATTTGAGTGAGTATTTAGCCATGGATTTTGATCTGATCGAATACCACTAAAATCTCACATCGGCTGGAAGTGCCATTAAATTCTTTCACCGTAACCCATCTTGCCATTATGTCTCTCACACTAACATTGTCCTTTTCCTTTTGTTTCCTTAACATTTTTCATCTTTCTTTAATCCTTAAGAAGTCTCAGGCACATCCATTCCCCCCCCTCCCCCACATAAACAGTAATTTGACAGTGATTGTGTAATTTGTCCTGTGAAGCTGGGACAGGGCAGAATGAGCCTTCACGACCGCTCTGCCTTTTCATTTAGGCACCTATCTGCTGGTTTTATATGAGGATTCAACACAGGGCTCTTTTTTAAATGAATATTTTTTCAAAACGTGTAAGTGTGAATTTGAACTGAGTATGGAAAATACTGACCACTGCTTTTAAACTTTGATTAAATGACTCATATGCCATACGCAGACTTTATGGTCATCTTCTTCTTGGATATTTTACAATCGTGCAAAAAAGTTAATTTTTTGGGCAACCTTTTGTTTTTCTGGATCCCATTTGAATTGCTGAAGTCAGCAGTCACACAGTATATATATATATACATATATACTATCTATATAGTTTGTACTCTTAGTGCTATTCAGTTTATTTGCAGGTGAACTTCAAGGAAAGATCAAATTGTAAAGTACTCAAGACACATCAATGTAATATGAAAATGTTACTAGTAAATCCTATTGTATTGATTATTGAGGTTAATAAAATGCTAAACGATCTTGTGTTCTGTTGTTGATGTGAAGTGAGCTTGCGGTCTAGAGGAGGAGACAAAGGCTGCCTTCCCTTTCTTGTCGCGCCGTTCTTATGTGAATGTCTTTGTGAAGGCGTCCGTCTGTGAATCCCCCCCCCGAACGGCTTCACGGCTCCATTAGATGCTGACGGGCCGCTGTTGTATTATATCTGCCGTGTCGCATGCTGGCATGAGCAATATATCAACTTATTCCCAGTGTCTTTGGCCATTTGAATCTATCAAAAATTCAGTGTCACGGTTCAAAAGGAATTTCTTTAATTTATAGGCCATCTATTGATAAGTTTCCCTCAGTGTAATTAGATACATGTCATTACACAGCCCAGGCAAGCCAGCCTTGTTATATCTGGTGTTTGTGTATTGCTGTTATAAATGTAATATTTAAACTAGAGATAAATTTTATAATGTGCAAGAAAATGTAGCTTAGCTTAGTTTTTCACTGTGATGTGGCTCTCTAAGTAAATGCATTAATAAATTCTTGAATACCTATGATTTTATATATTACTTTATGAAAAAATACTGATTTTTAAAGTAATTCATGCTATTATATACGCCTAAGAGTATTGCATACTTGTGTTACATGAGCAATATCATTAGCTTAGTTTGTAGTTATATTTGTTAAAATCAAAAATCAATGATTTACAGGCAAGTTAAACTCGGACTCCGTGCACAAGGATCCGTGCATTTAGCTAAACAAGCGGTTTTAACTCGAATCATCATTTACTCTCAGCAGTGTTATTGCGAAAAGGCGAAGTGAAAGGACGTCCCGCTTCAATGCACTGGCGTGATTATAAACGTGGCCGAACAGTCAACGGCGGCCTCGATCGCAGCTTCCTGTCCCGTCGTACATCGACTCACAAAATCAAGTTTCGTTGCATGTGACTTATGTTTGACAAAAAAAAATAAAAATTGCAAAAAGATTCATGAAAACCTTGACCTCATACATATGAAAACTCTTACGGTGTGAAACGTCGGTTGATTGCAAAGTAATTTTCTGTGAACAAAGGAGGGCAGCACCCAATTTCAGCCACAAGGGGACATCAAAATGAAGTCACCGTCACCAAAATCTATGCCACAGACTTTTCTCTGTCCTTTCGTGTGCCGTTTAATTCCAAACGTGCGGCATTTTTTTTATCGTTAACATATTTTCACTTTTACTCACCAGGAAAGCCTTGTGAGAGTCGCATTTGGACTCGAGTGGTAAACAAGGGGACAGTGGTCATTATTTTCTCTCGTTTTTAGGAACCTGTATAGTCATTTTTAGACAGTGGAGATTAACGAGAGACTTTGGGACATTTCAGAAATCTCCTAAGTTTCTTTCATACCTCGGAGAGTGTCGTAGGATTGCTAATAAATGTTACCCACAGGGAAAAGCAGGGATACATGCAAACGATATAGACCTATATGTGTCCATTGCTTTCCCTCTCTGTGCACAGACCCTATCTCCATTGATGTTGGCCATGATGAATGAATCGTGGAATATTTATGATAATATCCTAACCCTAATAACTACTGTCCTAATAACCATTTGTAGATTTTTAATTAGTAAAATGCAGATGAATAATCACAGAAGAGTTATGTCTCTGCTATGAATTTATTAATACAATTAAATAATGGTCTAGCAGTATCTTGTAACAAGGCCTTGGGAGTGTAGAATTAATGGATGTATGTTCTCTGCTTGCAGCACGGAAAAGGATTTGCTAATCCTTATCGTGTGGACATACCCGAGACTGCATGAATTTGCACAAATAGTTGACCAACAAAAGCATCAAGTTTTCAACTGCGTTACTGTAGCCATCTAAGCAGACATTGCGTTTGGAGCGCTCTGCCGTTGCGGACAGAGACCGAGATGGCGGACTGTAGGACCACGAGTGCTCTCAGCAGGCCTGAGAAATGAGCCGAAACAGAACTATATACAAAAAAAGAGAGAAAAACTGCGAGGTGACGTTCACCTTTTGATCTTTGTGTGCCTGTTTACAGCACTATGTACATCTTCAAATGTCACTGAGCCCTTTAGATGTTTGTACTCTCACCGAGAAGCCAATTGTACAGGAAATATTTGTGCATTATAAATGCAATATCACTGTTTTAGACTTGACTGTTTTATATTATGTTTGTGTGGTCAAGTGTTCCAAAATCTAGTCCAGCTTTATAAGGAAGATTGTGATCATGCTTTTCTTTATTATTATTATTTTTTATAAAGACCTTTGTTTTTCCACTAAGTCGGTCAGGAAAGTGTTGGCTGCCAACATAATGAATGACATTCTCTAGTTTCTATCATGTGTTAAAGTGTTTACTGTACTATTTTAAAGCTTCTAAATAAATATATATCTATATACATAAATCTATATATATACTTTTCTGGAAGTGTGGTATCTGTTGGTCAATTTTTATTATTATTATTTTTTTTTTAATTCACCATAGAATTCCGTAAAAGGACATTAAATCCTAAAGACGGCTTGTGATGTTTCAGTCAGTTAAAATAGAAGGCCTTATTTTCAGTCACACCAAGTTATATATACAGTATATATATTTTTCTTTTTCACTTTCGAATATTGGGATTCATGTCTAGAAATAAGAGGAGGTAATACTTTAGATTCAAATTCATGGTAATTAAATGTTATTGTAACCAAAAATGGTCATTTAAGGAACAAAAGTAGTATCAACGTTATAAATACATCAAACAAACACACACGAATACCGAGAGGTGATTAATAAACAGAAAAATACAAAGTATGAAGGCTCAAGTGTTTTTTTTAATCTTAAAAAAACATATTTGCATTCTTAAGCGTTCTGTGGATAATAAGTGTGAGATTCTTGGTCAAATATGTTTTTTTTTTCATATATATCCACATGCCTTTGTAGGATCATACTTGTTTCACATTTATTTCTTGAAGCCCTATCATCATGCAAACGGTGCACATTGCAGAAATGTGTACGAGAGTGTCTCATGTCAAGTGCAATATGTTCTTCAAGATGTCCTCGTGTCTTCTGGTCCAGGGAGAATGGATAGTACTGATGTGTGACTTGGCCAATCTCACATCTCGCAGTGAATTGTTGACTTTCAAAGACATATTAATGCGTGCGCTGACGTGCACTGGTTATACCACTGGCCCGAGATGTCTTGCTTGCACTGGGTGACACAGCTACTGTAGCCATGTCGACGTGAAGTGAATTGTATTGACGTGCCCCTGTATCATCATGACAAAATGTGAGATCACGTTTTCTAAGCTTGTTTATAAAGCTGGTCTCTGCTCCTGTTATTTTCTGTATCTGTGTCTGTTCTCACAACAGCGGCAGTTAGTGCCTGTTGGCTGTTGCTTGCTGGGTAGTTTAGGACTCTCAGGCTGTGTGTGGAAGGTTGTGGGCTCAGATCCTGGGGCAGCCAGAGAAATCAAAGCTCCGTTGGGTCCTTGAGCAAGGTGCTGGCCCTCGGCGGCTCCAGGCATCCTGGACGCTGGCCAGCTCTGCTTTCTGTCCCCAAACTGTTGCTTTTTCCACAAAAGCGTCTGCTAAGGACGCTGCTGCATTTATTTGTACAAGGTAATAATCAATAGACAAATTGCTAAATGCCACTGCATTCAATCATTCGGCAAAAAAGTGGTCGACATCAAATAAAGATGGAAGCTTGTGCTACAAAGAACCCGACTTATCAAACATAATGATGAAATATGGTCATATCGTCGAGTTCATTATCTGTATAAGCATACAGTAAATTCTGTAAATGAATTCAGGACAACAATTTAAAAAGCTGCTGGAAATAAACAGAACAACAAAAGCCTGAGTTGTTGGTGGGTTATTCTGCACATTATGTTGCTGGTACATTACGTTCTACTTCTGATTCTTTTGCACAATGAGATCAACTTTAGTAACTTAAAAAAGTTCATAATTTCACATTTTTTCTCAGCCCAAAATTTTACCCACCTTAACATTAAGCTTGACACATTTTACATTAAATATGTAACAAAATATCAAATAATATAATAAATAAGTTATCTGCAAGCCAGCAGATAATATTAATTCGTGTTCATGAAACTCCTCTGAATTGATAACCTGAACAGGTTACTTATTCATTGTAGAATTATATTTATGCACTACATAATCATAATTATGTATCTAAAGACTAAACTAATTTGAATATTACTGTTGCGTTATTGAATCCATTGTAACTCTTTTGTGAAAGCCTTGTCAGTTGTTTTAGATCTTGCACTATCTGTATATGCATGATGTAAATATGTTGTTCCTGGGGGAAAAAGATGTTTATTTGTTAATTTGGAATCTGAAAGATTATTTTTTTTTGATTCCTCAAAGAGGTATCGTCAGCATTTTTGCTTTCCTCTGTCTGTGTTAAAATTTTAAGAGAACTGAAATATTTTTCCCCCTGAATTAAACCTTTTATACCCAGCCTTAGTTAATAGCTATCACATGCTGCATTAAACACGAGCTACAAGGCACAAGAGGAACTAAATTAGGAAATCATTAAAGCCTAATGAAAGATAATTTAAGAAAAAATAAATTACTTACAATTCCCAAAACAAGCATTAAAGTTCTAAAATAATACAAAAAAAAAAAACCTGACATGGATTTCACATTCTTGGGCGTAAGTTAACTATCCCAGAGTTTCAAAGTCAATGAACAAAATTCCATCCATTTCAGAATGTTCTACATCACATCCAAAGAAACGCCTATTAATCCGGCAGTGCATGGAGCAACGAGAAAATCCATCATTGATAAACGTAAAGCTGTTTCTCAGGGAGGTGGGGAGGAATATTTCCTCACAGTTAAGGAAAAAAAAATTGTAGACAGGTGGAAGGTGTGTGGTTTTCTGTCTAAGCGGAGAGAAATGTGCATTAAATATGCAAACAGTGTTTACGCTTTTAACACTTGTCAGTTTGGCATGTTATTGCTTACAAGTAACATTTGAAGGGGGTGCTCTTTGTTCAGCGCTGTGGAATTCATGAAGGCGGTGGGGGGGGGGATGGGGGTGTGGGCAGGCCAGGTGGGAGGTGGAAGGAGGCTTGGCTTCCAACAGTTTTGTCAAGGTGCTCCCTGCCTGCTCTCGCCCTCTGTGCTGCTCCGCTGGAGGCTTTTGAGGGTCTGTGAGAGGTTGGCAGCTTCCTCCTCGTCTCCTGTCACGGGCGAGGCGGCGCGTCTGGTGGGGCCGGGAGCCCCCGCTACAGCTATCGACGGCTGCAACGGCTGAGATGCAGCAGGGACCGAACAGGCTTGCTGTGTGTGAACCTGCAGACCGTGCTGCCCCCCCCCCAAAAAAAGAATATATAAATAAAACCACTAGAAGAAAGAATGGCTAGATAGTCTGTGCCTGACCCTGATTCTGAAAAATGGGAAAATATATTTGTGTTATGAAATCAAATGGTTATTTAATTGCTTTATTCAAAGGGAATGTAATGAGTACAAATATGATATGCTGCAATTATTTCCATAATTTTATTTATTATAAAAAATAAACCACACATACAGAGAGAGAGAGAGAGAGAGAGAGAGAGAGAGAGAGAGATTAGGTATCTGTATCTTTGTAGGGACTGTCCATTCATTTCTATGGGCATAACCCCCACCCAGCCCTAACCTTAACCATAAGTAAACAAACAAAATACAAGACTTTTGGCAGTTTTCATTTTTTTTGATTGCAGTGACACATTTTTTTTATAAAATTGAGGTTCATATTGTGGGGACCTGAAAAATGACCTCTCCAGCTAAAAAGTAACAATTTTTAGCACATTGTGGAGACATTTGGTGCCCACAGTGTGGTAAATACACCCACACACACACACACACACACACACACACACTGCTGGTACTGCAGTCTTTCAAGATCCAAAGTGTAAGCAATATACTATACCTGAGAGAGATATTCTATGATATCAAATTGGAATAGAAGAGTATATGTCCATAGAAGAGTGTACATGCCCATATTTAAATCCAAAAATGTAACATGTAAGCTGCCTTATGTTTCACCATTTGTCCTTTCTGGAGATGAATGTTGCCTGAAATGCAGTATTTAAAGCTTTCTTTTTAGTTCTATCTCCATCTCTGACTGTCTCTCTGTGCCCTAGAGAAAAGCGTAATGGGTGGATGGTTGGGACAGAATGCTTCATTGACAGTACCATCCATCCAGAGAATCGGTTATCTGTTCTAATTTGCTTTACCCGAATGCTTCCCTCCGATAGCAGATATCACAAGATCTCTCGGCCCGGCGTGGTTCCATCTGGTTCTGCTCAGGCCCTGTTAGGCTTGCCATTATCAGTCAGAAAGGTCTTTGTTTTTGGGAAGGAATCTGTTTCCTTGTGATCTCTTCTGGACTTCGTCTGAGACTCACGAGGGAGGCCCCGACGGCAGAAGAATGTGACGTATGACTGTAAGAACAAAATCACATGCAAGGCTTCTGACAGCAAGAGAACGGGGAACGGGTTTTTTTGTTCTGTTGTCCAACTTCCAAACTAAAACCCTAAACTAGGGAGAGTTGTGCAAACAAAAACACTCAGAGTAATTGAAGGAAATGCATTTTCCAAGGGAGTGTGGAATTATCATGCACTTCATGAAGAGCCAGATCTGTCAGACTGCAACAGCAGTACCTGTCTGTGAAGTCAGACACTCCAACGGGGTGGAAAATTAAAGGTCTTCTAGCTGGTTAACTAGTTGTTTATTTGTTCTTT